AATGGAATCGACAGTTATAATTATAATTGCAACAACAGAGAGAACATCATCAACAATGATATAGATAATAACAAGGAAAGAAGAAGATGATGATGAAGAAGAAGAGGAAGAAGAAGATGATGACGAAGAAGAAAAAGAGGAAGAAGAGGAAACACACAAAACCACGCCCCGTCACGCGGGCGCTGTGACAGCTGACACCGATGAAAAATGCACGTCAACCTGCTTTGAGGTCAAAGCGACAACTTCACACACGTACACATTTATCATCATCATCGTCGTCATCATCATCATGATTATTGTTAATAATTTATTAATTAATTATGACTTATTATATATTTAAAATATTATTATTAAATTTTTTCCGTACTATGAACCTTAGACATCTTATTCATCTCATTTATCAACTACATCTACAGCCAAGAGGCGGAGGAAAGAAATGTCTTGGGGCCGTAATTTTGTGAGGCCCTCAAGGTTTGGGACCTGCCCTTGTCACTAATTCATATTTTTGTTGTTGAATATTATCATTTTCATTAGACAGTTTATCGTTATGAGGTCATTTTCATGCTGTAAGAATTAATCAGTCTCAAATACAAATACTACCTTACCAGTTTTGTTTGAAAAATGTCAATTTATATTAACAAAACTTTATTAAAAAAAGTAAAAATCTAAGTATGAGTCTGTACTTGGCCAAAATTTTAAGTATTCAAAATATACGAAATACCACATATATAAAAAGTTATAATAAATAATTTTAAAATAACTTTATCTTTCCATAAACTTCTGTTCTTTGTGCTAAGCCATTTAAAATTTAAAAGTGATTAATAACCATTCGTAGAAATATTTATGGAATGCGAAACTTGATTTTAATTTTGGTTCAACTTCATTTTATTTAATTTATCGCAAATTTTTAAAATAAATTTTAAATTAAATTTCTCAAGTTGACGTTTCATCAAATCAGCGTGTCACTCTTTCAAGTCGTTCGTATCTTGTTCCTTGTTTTACCTGGGAATCAGGAAATAATTAATTTAATTTAAATTTTAAATGTAATCCTAATCACCTAATCATCCTAATGTAAATAAAAGGAAAAAAAAATTTTTTTTAATTTTCTCTCTTTTTATAAAAAATCATATGTTTATTTATTGTAATTTAGAATGATTGATTTATTTTTATTTATACTGCAAAACCTTCAACTTCAACAATCACTTTGACATACTTCTTACTCAACTTAAAAGTTACTTATTAAATTAATTAACTAATTGAAAAAACATTTTTTTTAGAAATGAGCAACACCAGTGGTTTGGGGAAAGAAAAAAGAAGATAATAATAATAATTTAATAATAAAAATGATAATAATAGTATTATTTTTAGCAAAAAGATAATATGACTTCTGTCACCGGGGTATATTGTATTCAATTATTTTGTTGTTGTTGTTTTTGTTGTTGGCAAACCACATACAGACACACATATGTATATACTTATATACATATGCACATATGGTATTGAAATTGAATTTGTATTACAATTAGATTGATATGGTTGAGAATTAATTTAAAATTGATATCACAGAAAATAATTTAAAAAAATGAATTTAAATTCTAAATCAGAAAAATCTAGGTGAAGTAGCAGGACAACAAGCACCTCAATTGCTACTACAACCATTACATGATGCATGTTTGAAAGGTGATTTGAATGCAGTCAAAGAGATTATAAATGATGGCGCTAGTCTTAATGAGAGAGATGAAGTTAGATAATCCTTTCATTCATTTATTTATTCATTTATTTATTTGTTCTTTCATTCGTTCGTTCGTTTATGCATTCATTTGTTCATTAATTCATCATTCATTCATCATTCATTCATTCATTTCTTTTTTGTTAGTGCATTGTTCATTTGTTTCCAACCAACCAGCTGGGATACACGTCTCTGCAGATAGCCTCCGCGCAAGGGCACCTCGAGATTGTTAGAGAACTTTTGAAGTTCAAGGCCACCGAGGTCGACACGCGAGATTACATTGTATGTGATGACGGTGATGATGATAATCAATAATAATAATAATAATAATAATAATAATAATAATAATAATAATAATAATATGATCATTATCAGCACGGAAACACGAGTTGCCACGAATCTGCCTGGAAGGGATACAGTAGGTCGCTGACTGAACTGATCAAGTGCGGTGCAGACGTCAACCTCGTTAACCACGTTAATGATGATGATGATGATGATGGCGACGATGATGATGATGGTGACGATGATGATGATGATGATGGTGACGATGATGATGATGGTGACGATGATGATGATGGTGACGATGATGATGATGGTGACGATGATGATGATGATGATGGTGACGATGATGATGATGATGGCGACGACGATGATGATGATGATGTTGGCGATCGTCGGTTGATTATGACTACAATACAACACAACATCACATGCACACGCACGCACGCACAACAGAACAACTTCACAGCACTGCACATGGCAGCACAGAATGGTCACAATGAGTCCGCACGTATCTTGCTCTATGCCGGCTCTGACCCTGACGTTCAAAATGCCGTTTGTATTGAAAAATGAAGCAATGAATGAATGAATGAATAGAGGATTGAATGAGAGAATGGATGATTGAATGAATGAACGGGTGAATGGATAGATGAATGAGCAATTGGATGGATAGATGAAGAAATGAAAAACGAATGAGTGAGAAAAAGAGAACGAGAAATTTCATTCATTTTGCTTTGTTTCATAATTAGTTCACAAAAATTTAAAAAAATTCTTAACCATTATCCACTAAACTTTTCAAACACTGATTCACGGTGATCCACCTATCTCTCACCCACCAACCAACCCACCTCAAAACAAAAACACTAAATAAGTATGGCGACACGGCTATGCACACTTCCTGTCGATACGGACACGCCGGAGTTACGAGAATTCTGATCAGCGCACGGGGGAATGGGAATGTCCAAAATAAAAATGGCGACACGCCTCTGCACATCGCCGTTTCCTTGAAGCTGAGGAAAATCACTAATCTACTGATCAGGGCCGGCGTTAATATTAGCACTCTAAATTACGTTAGTGTAGTTGGTTGGTTGGTTGGTTGATCGATTGGTTGGTTGATTGGTTGGTTGATTGGTTGGTTGGTTGGCTGGCTTGCTTGATTGATTGTTTTCAATATTTTTCCTGTTAGCAAAGAGAAAACGCCTTGGACATAGCGAGGAGAAAAAATTATGAAGAGATCGTCAACGTGCTGACTGAAAATTTGAGAATTATGGTTGGTTGATTGATTGATTGATTGATCGATCGATTGATCGATTGATTAGCTAATGGTGATTTAATTTTTTTTGAAACAGCACTTGAATAACTTGAAGCAGCAGCAACAACTGCACCAACAACAGCCACAGCAACAGCCACAGCCACAACAGCCACAACAAACTACCACAAAATCAATAACAATTGCTGCTGATTCTGACGGCAAAGATGCAACAGCTAAAACTAAATCTAAAAATAAATGGCTCTGGTTTATTAAGAAAGGCAAAGTTTGTGTTAATTTTTATTTAATTCATACATTCATTCTTTCTTATTCGCTCACACGTTCATTCATTCATTCATTCATTCATTCATTCATTCATTCATTCATTCATTCATTCACTCATTCATTCACTCATGTTTTAATCTTTTCAAATCAATCACATCAATTCTATACTTTTTAATTAATTCATTCATTTGTTTATTCTTTTATATTTATTTACTCGTTCGTTCGTTCGTTCATTTTTTTCATTCATTCAGCTATTCCATTGATAATCAATCGATCGATCAATCAACCGATCGATCAATCAGTCAATCAATCAATCGATCAATCAATCAATTAATCGATCAATCAATTATCCATTCATCTCCTTGACAGAAATCTCAACAACAACAACAGCAGCAGCAAAGCATCACCACCACAACTACCACCAACAACAACAACATTGGCAATGTATCTTTATCGTTACCAACATCGCCTGAGAAGCGAAAACACGGCGACAACAACATCAACAACAACAACAACATCAACAACAATAATGATAATATTGTCAGTAGCTTAGCTGTTCTTAATCCAAAAAATGTTTTACAAAGTTTTCAGCAACATCAACAACAACATCAACATCACCTAAATTGCTACAACTCCAACAACACCAACAACATCAACAACAACAGCGTTACAGAATTTAGTAGCAAAGACATCAACCCATTATTCTCTTCTTACAACATTATGTACGTATTTATGACACGTCAACACCAATCACCATTGCTCTCTTTCATCTTCTTCGTCATCACTATCACTATCATCATCATCATCATCATTATAATTTTTGTTATTATTATTATTGTTGTTGTTAATGTTGATGATGCTGATTAAAATGAGATAGCTCGAGATTGTGAGGGTGGCGATAATTTTGTACTAACCCTTACCCTGACCTTACTGCTACTGCTACTACCACTACTACTACAACAACTACTACAACAACTACTACAACAACTACTACTACTACTATTACTGCTACTACCACCACTAATACTACTACTACTACTACTACTAATACTACTACTACTGCTACTACCACTACTACTACTACTACTACTACTAACAATAATAATAAAAACAGTAATATTAATATTTTCAGACCTCAAGACAGATTCATATGTCCTCCAGGCGTTCAGTATTATAGAGACCTCGCTGGGAACATCAGACAGGTAGCCATAGTAATAATAATATTAATAATAATAATACCAATAATGATAATAATGATAATAATAATAATAACGATAGCAATGTCTTGATGTTGGTAATGATGATGTTGATATTGCAGGGTCCTGTGAGCGTAGTGCCACAGCCACCACCACCATCTCATCATCATCATCAACAACATCCTCATCCATCCAACAACGCGTGTAACAACATCAACAACAACATCAATAATAATAATAATAGTTTGGGATTTTCCAACTACGATACTATGCCAGCTGTTTCTTGGAATTTCCAGACTTTTCACAGCTACAATGATCAGCAGCAGCAGCAGCAGCAGTGCACTCCTATGGGCTTTTCCAACTTTCCAAATTCAGTTTCAGTGTTAGGACAGCCGCAATTTCTTCATAATCAGCCATCTTTGTTTAATTATCAGCCTCAACAGCATCATCATCAGAGATATAATTGTGGAGCTGTTAACCCGATCCTACCAAATTACTTCGGCACGTCATCTCATTTACAAGCACATCACTACATTAATCCGAATTCTCAACATCAGCCCACGTGTTGTTACTCCAATTACCCTAATTCTAGGCAGCCCTCATTGTCCGGGGCATCGAGAAAAAGCCGGGGGGTGACGAGGGATGTTCCTATCGATGCTGCAATGTTTCGGTCAAAATCAGACGACACGCTATCAACTGTCACGAGTAAGCCTGGCCACGAGACTAAGCATAACATCAAAGAATCTAAAAATTGTGCCAGAAATAGGACCGGAAATTGTGACAAACAGCAGGGTACTAAAAATCCAGCGTTTATTAAAAGCAATGGCAGTAATAATAAATATGCTTCTTGCAAAAGTGTCAAAAGTAAAATGCGTGGCGGTAAGAATTGCAAAACGAAAGATGAATATCTGGCAGCATCGAGCGATTCTAGTTCGAGTAGCGTCGTCAGGAAGAGAACGACGTATATCCCTAAAACAGCCAGCAAAAATTATGACGTCATTGTCACTAATAAAAATGATGATGCTGGATGTAGCGTGGGCAGATTAGAAATTAGTCAAAAAAATATCAACGATGATAGTAATCCCGATTCCGGGTTCGGAGATGACCATAGAAAATTTAAAGAACCTTTGCAACAACTACATCAACAGCAACTACTACAACTACTACAACAGCAGCAACCACAACAACTAAAACAACAACAACAACATCAATACAGCACCATTGCTGACATAAAGAAGGACGGCTCCAAATGTAACACGGCAATTTCGAAGAGCAATGCCAACATCAATCATAATAATAATATTAATCATAATAATAATATTAGTAATAATAATAATAATAATATTAGTAATAATAATAATAATAATAATAATAATAATAATAATAATAATAATAATGGTACTACTACTACTTCTTCTACTACTACTACTACTGGCAGTGGTAATAATTCTAAGCATAATAGCAAAAACAATAGCGCCAATAGCATCAATGATAGTAACGGTACGATCAACAACAGCGGCAGCAATCAAATCAACAGTTTTGAAGCCAACGTCATCACTGCTGCCACTGCAACTGCTGCTGCTACTACTACTACTACATCTAATAATAATAATAATAATAATAATAATAATAATAATAATAATAATAATAATAGCACTGGTGATGGTAGCAATGTAATGATGAATAGCTGCAGCATCTCAACAGACGATAATTCGTCGTCCGCTGTTTCTGACACTGATAGCGTTGCTTCACTGTCATGCCACTCACTTTGATACTACTCTCTTTCTCTCTCTCTCTCTCTCTAATTAATTCTAATTCTCTTTTAATTTTTCTTACTCCCATAATCTTTCTCTCTCTCTTTCTCTCTCGTTTACTTCTTCTATTAAGTTGTTTCTTCATCTTTTCTTCTCTCTCTTCCTATATATATACACACACACACCACACACACACCCACATATATATATATATTAATGTTAAAAGTGAACAGCTTATATTTCTAACTTCATATTGTGAAATGGTAATGAAGGTGGAGTTTCTTCTCTTCCATACAGATGCAAACTTTTTAACCCTTCAGTTTTTTGTCCTTGTTTGCCTTTTTGTTCTTTGTTTTTATTCTTTCCCTAATTTTTCGTAAAAAACATTCAGTTTTATGATTTAATTGCCGTTGTGTATATATATATATATATATATATATATATTGGTAATAATGAATAATAATTTTAAAATTCATTTTATTACTTAAAGTACGTTTCAATAATATTATGTTATACTCGTTCTTAGTCAAATATATTTATAAAATACTATATAAATGTTGCCTTTTTACGTGTATAACTTACCCAAGAAAGAAAGAGCCAGAGAAAATGCATCTTATATGTGTAGTGTCATATTTAAGAGCTAGATTTTATTATATATAGATATATATTTATGTATATTGTATGTATTTATGTGTATGTATATATATATATATATATATGCCATATTTTTAAATATATTTTTTATATTTATGTGTATGTATTTGAATAATTATGTATTTATGAAATGTATTTTTACTCTGTATTGACATTGTGTAGTATTTATATATAGTCCATGTAGTCATTCATTCGTTTATTCATTCATTCGCTCATTCATTCATTCATTTGCTCATTCATTCATTCGCTCATTCATTCAAAAATATAAAAGCAATGTTTTAATCATAATGAATTTCTTTTAAGTATATATATATATTTTACAAATTTTATTAATTTTAATTTGACAAAACGAGATGAAATATAAAAGGTGAGAAAAGTCTGTCTCTTTTAACTTTTTGGAAGATTTTTCAGTAAATGAATGAAATATAAAAGGTGAGAAAAGTCTGTCTCTTTTAACTTTTTGGAAGATTTTTCAGTAAATGAATGAAACCATTCATTTATTCATTCGTTCGTTCATTCATCCACACATTCATTCACTCATTCATTCATTGATAAAATTCACTTGTGAAATTAATTGGTTCGGTCAACCAATAACCAATCAATCAGTCAATCATTCATTCTTTCGTTCATAATTTCAATCAATCAAGTAATTTATAATTATAATTATTAATTATTATTATTATTATTTGTGGCATGGTTGTTCAACGTCTCCACAATTTCTCTACTCAACGGCTGGTTCTCATCAATTTTCTTGCATATGTTCTTGTACTAGGAGAAGTTAATTATAAACATTATCATAAAAATATTATTATTAAGTAAAATATATTAACATAAATCTATAATATAGATTATTATAGATAAATTATATTTATATTTGTTTTAATTATTAAAGGTTCAATTCCTATTAGATTAAAATTTGTTTAGGAGATGTATTAACTATGGAAACCAAAAACAAAACAAAATAAAGCAATAACAAAAACAATAATATTAACTATAATATATTTAATAATAACAATAAATAACCATTTCAAGTTCCTTCTTCAAAATAATAATAGCCTTTTCCCTACTAGCCACTAACTCTTCCAGGTACTGGTACCTCAGTTTTTTCCGGGCCCTACACTCCCTGGCTGACTGTTGACTTCTCTCTAATTTCATCCTCACGTCAAGTTTTGCCGGTTTTCTACCTCTCTTTCCCACTCCCCCAGTTCCTGATCCTGATGACGTTTGTCTGTTTTGCTGTTCGTGTGATGATGATGATGATCCCGAGTTTTGCAGTCTGTTGGCTGTTGATGATTTTGAGGATGCGATTTCGTTCTAGGAATAAAATTTGTAGGTGGTTGGTTGTTGTTCGTGATTAAATGGGCTAACAAATAAATTTTTCGTTAATAATTGAAAAAAATTAGATAAATACACTACAACTAATTAATAAACTAAAGTACAGTACAGATAAGAAAATGGAACTAATCACTAATAAAAATGATTGGAAAATTAACAAAATTTAGTCATCCAGAATTGGATAATGTAGATGACATACCCACTCAACCAACAATCAGACGATTAAATCATGAGACGCATTTTAAATCCAATTTTTTTACCTAACTACGTTTCATTAAAAATGGCCTTCACCCAGCAGAATAAAAATTTGATACAATATGCGATCTACCTTCATTCTCCTGCTTTCTTCGCTTATTTCTTTTAAGTTATTACTCCCATAGTTTAAACTGTTAAATACAGATTTAGCCATTTTAAAATAAATCTGTACAAACGCATTTTATAACAAAGAAGACGAAATTATTAAACCTGACGGCTAATCAGTTTTTAAACTTATGTTTGCTTTTAAAGTCTAGTGATTAAAAGTTCATTCGATATAAAAGTAATAACAATATTATTTAAATATTTTCAAACTTAAAATTACAATATTCAAATAATTAATTTAATTTTTGTTTTAAAAATTTACAATTTAAAACATAAAAATGTCTACAAAATGAAAATTTAACACAAAAAATGCGCCAGTCATTTAATTTTAAACGGTTGCCATGAACACGTCAATGTAAACTAGTAAATAGTTACTTCAATTTTTTTGCCGAATAAATGTATTTTTCACGAATTCAACTGAGAATTGTTATATAAATACATAAAATAAAAAAATTCTTATATTATATCATTAAATAAACAATTACATTTTATCACATAATCATAATGGCTAATAGAAATATTGATGAGGATGATAAAAATGTAAGTGTCATGATTATTTATAAAACTTCAAATCGTTAAAACTCTAACCGAGGCCAAATTTATTAATAAACAAACGAGGCAAATGTCTAGGCTCCGTTATAGCTTTCACTGTGATTCACCGACCATTCAAATTTTGAGTTGAAGCAATTTCGAAAATATAATAATTATAATTAAAATAAAATTTGTTTGAAAAAATGAGAGTCTTGGCACTTTGTCTAAAGCCGGCTAGAGAAGGCTTGATCCGGCCCCGGTTAAAACACTAACTTCACAAATTGAATTTATTTTACTTGACACTAATTGTACCTAACTACAGTTAGGCAAATTGCACCCCAACCAATTTTATGACGAATCTCTTGATCTCCATGATTCAGAAGAAGTAGCAAGCCAGTACGACCCAACTCCCAGGATTTTCAACAAATCAAGCAAGTACATACACACACGCACGCACACACACACACACAAACATACACGTACATAAGTTACATACATGAAAACAAAAATCTAATCCTCATCCCCACCAAAGATTTCGTAAAAAGTAAGCACCCAGTGCCCGTGAGAAATGATGACGACGATGACGTCAACAACGATGATGAAGATCCCGATAATGATTCTTACCACGGAGGAATAGGAGTGCAAGATTCATTAGAAGTTGTTAGGACAATTTTATTATTAATTATAGATTTGTTTAACTTTAGAACTTACACTCGTGCGAATAACATTAGTATCGAAACATCCCGCATTCTTAATACAGCACCAGGAGTGTCCTCCAACGTCTATCACAATGCGGACATTTATTTGGATTTGTACTATAAATTCCGTTAATTAAAAAAAATTAAAATTAAATAAAAGCATAATAAAATCTAAATTTTAAAACTATCTCCATCTTCTGCAGAATTATTTCCTTTCAAACAAACAATTTTAAAACTAATTGAACAATTAAAAACTAGTATCATGTATAAAAAAAAGAGTGAGCTGTACGAAAACGGCCAGCTTCTCTCATGCAGTACAGACAATAATAATAATAATAATTATTATTATTATTATTATTTTATTATTATTTGAGAATGTGCTAGTGGTTGCAGCAGTTGTATTGAATAAATCAATTAATTAATCAATTAAATGTAATTAATTAATTAAATTTAGAATCAAAGCTCATTTTCGACGAACTTCAAGAAGACATCATCGGCCAGGAACATCAACAGCAGCAACACCATCAACAAGATTAAAAACGAAAGCGAGAATGACGACGACGACGACGACGACGATGATGATGATGATGATGATGATGACGACGACGATGATGACGATGACGCCAAAGCGCCAGAAGGGTAATGATAATGATGATGATAATAATAATTATTATTGTTTTAATTATAATTATAATTAAGAATATAATTATAATTAAGAATAATTTTGGTACATATAAAAGCGCTTACAACCCAAATGATTTTGAAAACTTGCCCGTAACGGCCGAAGTTAAAGAATTGTTTCAATACATTACAAGGTTCATTTTTCTTTTCAATAGTTCGTTCGTTCGCTCGCTCATTCATCCATTCCCTCATTTATTCATTCATTTATTCACTATTTTATCTTATCCACCCATCCACTAATCTAGATATTCGCCGCCTAACTTGGACCTGACCTTCAAATTGATCCCATTCATTCCTGATTATATCCCTGCAGTCGGAGATATTGATGCGTTTCTCAAGGTCACCAATCAATCAATCAAACAAACAACCAACCAACAAACCAATCACCCAGTCAACAATCCTTCTTCAACCAACCAATCAGCACCCTCTACTTAACCAACCAATCAACAGTCCCCAATCAACAAACCAACCAACCAATCAACCAACTAACCAACCAATCAACACTCTCTACTCAACCAATCAACACTCTCCACTCAACCAACCAATCAACCAATTAACAAATCAACCAACCAACCAACCAATCAACATTAGATACCTCGTCATGATGGCAAGCGGGACAAATTAGGACTAACGATAATAGATGAGCCTTGCGCCAAACAATCAGATCCAGTTGTGCTGGAACTCCTACTAAGATCTCTATCGAAGGATACCGTTGTATCTAGCAAAATTGTGCGTGCTTTTGTGTGTGTTTGTGTGTGTTTGTTTGTTTGTTTGTGTTTGTATGTCTAGGATCTGTATGTTGGTGTGTGTTTGTTTGTTTGTTTGTGTTTGTATGTCTAGGATCTGTATGTTGGTGTGTGTGTGTGTATGTTGGTGTGTGCTTACATGTTTTTGGTGTGCTTGTTGGCGTGTGTGTGAATTTTTTTAGTATTGAAACTTTTACCACTTGAATCTTTTTGCAAGATGCTATCATTGCAAACTATGCTGTATATAAATATATATAAACAAACACACACATCCACATACATACACACACACACACACACATACATACATACATACATACACACACATACATACATACATACATACTCGGCCCCATGGACCGTAACACCTCCGGGTTTTTCAATCGGATTTGTAAAAATACCAGTATTAGGTCAGGCGATAGTAGGGAATATTTTTTTGCTATGAATAATATCTCGTGCATTCTGCAGCGGTTTTTGCGCGTCTGTGTGTTGGAAAATGTGGAGTTGAATGCCGACGGGGTTGAGTGACGTTATAGCAAATAAAATCAAATTTAGTCAGACGCTTGGCTTTTGGTGTCATTCGTCAATGATTTGGTTTTAACATACATACATACATACAAACAGAATGTAAAGAGCGTAGACATAGATCAGGCAGACAGTACAAAACACATTGACTCGTGGATAAAAAATATCGACAATTTACACAGAAGCAAGCCACCTCCCACTATTCATTATACAAAGTTTGTATGTTTGTATGCATGTGTGTGTGTGTATGTGTGTGTATGTGTGTGCGTGTGTGTGTGTGTGCGTGTGTGTGTGTGTGCGTGTGTATGTGTGTGCGCGTGTTTGTATCCAAATACAGAAAAATGCCTGAGGTAGATGACCTAATGCAAGAATGGGACAGCGAAATCGAAGACGTCGTCAAAGATGTTTGTTATTATTATTATTTATTATTATTATTATTTATTATTATTATTATTTATTATTATTATTATTACAATTATTATTATTATTATTATTTATTATTATTATTATTACAATTATTATTATTATTATTATTACACCTCGCCACAACTACAGATAGCCTTCCCAATTGAAATTGACTGCGAACTTGCCCAGATGGTCGACATAGTCTGCGGTAATAGTAATAATAATATTATTATGATTAAATAATAATTATAATTATTATAATTATAATTATTATTCCTTGACATTTGACAGGCGTGTGTGACGTACCGGTACACTCGAATAAGGTGGAATCACTGCATCTTCTGTTTACCCTATTCTCCGAGTTTAAGAATTCTCAGGTCATTATGAATGAGTGAATGAATGGATGAGTGAATGAATAAATGAATGAATGAATGAATGAACGAACGAATGAATGAGTGAATGAATGAATAGATGAATGAATGGATAGATGGATGGACAAATGTATGTATGCTGAGATGAAAATTATAGATGGATATGGAATAATAATAGTGGTAGTAGTAGTAATATTAACAAATACGCTGCAGCAGCAGCAGTAGTAGTAGTAGTAGTAGCAGCAGCAGCAATAATAATAACAATAATAATAACCATCATCATCATCATCACCCACCACAGCACTTTCAGTCAAACGCAAACAGTAACAACGTTAACGCTATCACTTTCCAATGAAGAACGATAAGGAATAATAATAATAATAATAATAATAATAATAATAATGATAATAATGATAATGACAAAAATAATAACAATAATAATAACTTGTATACCAAAACTATATACATTATTATTGTTACTCTTATTGTATCAATAACATGGGCAGATGTTTTGACTAATGTATGTATAAGATCTATATCCATACAAACACATTCACACACATACATTCACACATACATACATACGTACATACATACATACATACATACATACATACATACATACATACATACATACATACATATGCAGATATATACATACACTGGGTAGATGTTTGATTGTTTTAAAGATTATTCGTTCATTTTTAATTGTCTATTTGATTTCTGTAATTAAATTTTTAAACAATGAATGATTTGCTTTTCTTTCTTTCTTTCATTCGTTCGTTCGTTCGTTTGTTCCTCGTTCATTCGTTTGTTGGTTCATTCATTCATTTGTTCATTCATTTATTCATTCGTTCCATTGTTTTGTATAAAACCGAAAACGCAAATATATAAAAATACACACATAAACACAAACATACATACATACAAAATATACAAACAAACAAACGAACGAACAAACGTTCATAAAAACATACTCCATACAAACACACACACAAACACACAAACATACGTACACATGAAAAATCTTTTTCCTCCTGGTAAAGTTATACACGCAAAACTGTCAAAAAGAGAAATTACTTTTCTTTGGTCTGATGACGTAGTCATTTGTTGTTACGTCATATCAAGTTCGACCAATCACGTGCCAAGATCAATCATTTATTCATTTATTTATTCATTCGTTCGTTCATTCATTCATTCGTTCATTCATTTGTTCATTTGTTCATTCATTCATTCATTCGTTCGTTCATTTATTTGTAGTTTCGTTTGTTAGTTCAATCGCTCATTCATCCATTTATTCATTCATTTCCTGTTCATTTATTCATTCACTCATTCATTCATTCATTCACTCACATATTTATTTATTTATTTATTTACCATTCAACCAGTAATCGTTTATTCCATCTATGATTTACTATTAAAATCAAAAACCGCTCTCATGCTTCAATCAATAAAAAATATAACAACAACAGCAGCAGCAACAAAAACAACAATAACAACAACAATAATAATAACAATAACAATGAAAACAATAACTTATTAGACCTATCCTGGTTTGCCAGCGGTTGACTCACTTTTAACTCTAGAATATAACACGACGAGTTGAATAGCGGGGCATCTATGATACTACACACACGCACGCACACACACACACACACACGCACGCACATCACACAGATATATATATATATATATATATATATATATATATATATATATATTATATTTCAATTCAATATATATATGTGTGTGTGTGTTTACGTGTGTGTGTGTTCATGTAGATATAAGTTAAATATGATTAGCTGTATTAATTTTAGACAGATGATTATTAAAATTGTGAATTCTATTATCAGAACGGGCTGTTTGTCGAGTAATTTTTAATTATTATAGCATTAATAAATCATAATAAGAATAATTAATAGCAGGAGCATCAACAGTTGCAGTGCTGATAATGATGACGGTCATCGGACAATCCTCAACTTGCACACACCCATCGGCATCGCCAACCACACCAAGTTTTTACAACCTCGAGAGCTGTTCAACAAAACATCAACAACAACTGCAACAACATCAGCAACAACATCAACAGCAGCAGAGACCAACAACTTCAACGAAACGGAAACGCTTAATCAATCAGGAGCAGCGTAGGGCGGCCAACGTCAGAGAACGTAGACGCATGAACAATCTGAACAAAGCTTTCGACGAGTTGAGGGACAAAGTTCCCAGGTTCGAATACGAGAAGCGTCTGTCTCGAATCGACACCCTCAAACTCGCTTCTGAGTATATCATCTTCCTTAATAGGATTTTAAACGAGACCGAAATTTGCTCCGGTAGCGAATTTGACGTTGAAAAAGTTCTAGATCAAAATGGAAGTCTTTTGGCGGGAAAAAGAGATACTTTGACACGGGATAGTGTTATTTTAACGCAAAATGATGATGTCCCGGCGCGGAATGAGAGATTTTATGACGAAAATGTTGGTGGCGGTGTAGAAATAATTAATTATAATTTTGTTGACGGAAGGAGGCAAGCTGATGATGTGACGTCATCAGATGATGTTTTTCCTGGTTATGTTGATGTTGGCAACAACATTTCAAACATCAACAACAACATTAACATCAACATTTTAAACTACAACACCAACAACGACCGTACCAACTCTTGCGATGACAACCGCAACCTTTTTTACAGCATTGATAACGATAACAATACCTTATTTAACACTCTAAACAATATTATTTACACCAGCGACACAACTGCCAGCAACAACATCAACAACAACATAGTCAATTTTAATCTAGTCAAAAATATATACAACAACGACAAATACATCAAAGGCCTCAACAACAACAACAACAACAACAACAGTATCTCATTTGATGATGAACCCCCCTCTGAAATAACAATGGACTCATCTTTTTCAACGAATGACAGTGGAGTATTTAGTACGGAAGATTATTACACTAGCAATTGTCATCCAAGTGACCACTTTACAGCCACTGAAGACGTAAAAAACTGTAAATTTACACCTCCCGATGACAAACATACAATCTCAAATGACGTCAACTTTACAACAGTAAACTCAAAAATATTTGACTACAGCAGTGAATATACTACCATTATAAATAATAATAATAACAATATGTGCTTCAGTAATTTTACGAATTACACAACATTATAACGTCCCAAAAACTTATTTTTTTGATAAATTTGTTTATTATATATAAATATATATAAATATATATATATATATATATAAATATATATATATATATATATATATGTGTGTGTGTGTGTGTGTGTGCGCGATTACTTTGTATTTCTTTCTTAAAATCTCAAACAACGAAAATCTTTCGAACTTTGTTAACAGTTCTTCTTTAATTGACATCAAGAGAGGTGCAACACACACACAACACACACACACACGAACACACACACACGGACACACACACACGGACACACACATAGAGTGCATTATGTTCCGTATAAACTCTTGTATCTTGCAATGACCCACATTGGGAAAATGTTTCTATACAGATCGTAATGTATGGAGCAGGTTTTGTTGAAGACTCCTGATACGTTTTGCTGAAAATATAATTATGAAAAATTATGGCTTAGATGTATTTTCGTATTAATTTTATTAATTCATTTCCTCGTTCGTTCTGTCAATTTTTCATTCATTCGTTCATTCACTCGTTCGTTCGTTCATTCATTCATTCATTTATTCATTCATTCATCCATCCATCGGCTCACAGCGCAAAGAGTAACGAACCTTAGGGTAGCTACCGTCATCATTCTGCATGCCAAGCAGATATCGAACGCCTCTCTCGATGCAATTCACATCTGGATATCTGTGATTTCGTTAAAAATAAAAATTTTAATAATAATAACAATAAAATAAGTTATTTGTATTGTTCTTATTATTATTTATTATGATTGTTGTTGTTATAATTAACCAAACTGACCCGGCAGCCATTAAACCCAACAGGGCCCAAGACGTATTAACTACTTGTGGTTCTTCAGTTGATGATGACGATGACGATGTGGTTTTTGTTGTGGCTGTTGCTGATGATGTCGAATCTATGTATCTCTTTAATTCACATGATTCAAATTTCTCTCCCCAACCGCCATTGGTCGGCTGCTGTTTGCTGGCCAGCCAATCACAGGCCTTCGTCAAACTTGGATGTGGTGCTCTATATAATAATAATAGTAACATAATAATAATAATAATAACAATAATAATAACGATAGCAAACCTGACATAGTGATACCCCACGCAAGACAGACCTTCCAGGGCGAACCAGGTCCCATACGTGTAACACACAGCCCACGATCTTATTAATAATTAAAATAATAATAAATAATAGAAATAATTAAAAATAATATTAATAAATAATAATAGCAATAATAATAATAACCCATAGTAAGAACCGTCAACTTGCTGTGAGTTGACGATGAATTCTAAACATTTCTCCAAGGCTTGCCTATAACAAAAAATTATTATTTATTATTATTACTGTTATTATTCATTATTATTATTATTCGTTATTATTATTGTTATTTATTATTATTATTATTATTACTTGATAATTTCCTTCTTGTAATTCCTATCAATGTATTCCGTGAAGAAATGGAAGGCTTGCATGGCAGCAGACGTACATTCAACGTACGAATAGTCTAGCATTACATCTCCTAATTTCGTTTGTTAGTGGATTGGAGAAAATGAATGAGTGAATGAAGGAATGTATGAATAGATGAATAAATGAATGGATGGATGGACGAACCAAAAACTTCTGATGGATTGAGAGACTCTAAAAATGTGCCACCTCTCTTTCGCTCGTACGTTGCAAAACCGCCATCGTCGTTTTGTAACGTTAACAACTGCGTTTTGTTTGTTGAACGCATCATTCATTCATTCATTCATTCATTCATTCATTCATTCATTCATTCATTCATTCATTCATTCATTCATTCATTCATTCATTCATTCACTGAAACTTCTGTTCTTTCAATTCATACACAAAGAATAAAACAATGCTAAACCAAATCAATGGCGCTTTTACATCTATCATTGAGTTTCCATTTTTTACTATCGTAACCATCATCATCACCGTCGTCATCTTCTTCTTCCTCCTCCTCCTCATCTTCTTCCTCCTCCTCCTCATCTTCTTCCTCCTCCTCCTCATCTTCTTCCTCCTCATCATCATCATCTTCCTCATCTTCATGACTATCGTTATCAGCACCACCATCATCATGAAAACGTCCCATCACCAATTTATTTCTTTTCGTCATCGCCATCTTTAAAACATCAACAGCAACATCTCCAGTGTCGAGATCATTATCAGTATTTACGCTTTTTTCCACCATCATCATCTTCTTCTTCTTCCTCCTCCTCCTCATCATCATCATCGTCTTCAGAGCTTCAGCAGTACAGTCGGCCACAATCCATCCACACTCGTACGTGCTGAATGGAAATCCGCCCTGAAATTTCCATTATTATTATTATTATTATTTTTATTGTTATTATTGTTTAATTGTTCGTTTGTTTGTTCATTCACCCATTCATTCATTCATTCATCCATCCAATCATTCACTCACTCATTCCTTCATTCATTCGTCAAACCTTATTTGGGTGTCGATAATATTTTGAAAAATCTCTATAGACGCTGGTTCTATTATTATTATTATTATTATTATTTAGGCCGTCAATTTGAGTAGCAAGTAAAAACTTGAGGCCATTTTTTAGCGCTCCATTTAATTTTTCACTAGTGAACGTTTTGGAAACCTAAAATGTTAATGAAAGAAGAATGATCGATCGAACGAACGAACGAATGGATGGGTGAATGAATGAATGAAAAAATGAATTGATGGATGAAAAATTAATTAATGAATGAAATAAAAGAAAATAGAGAGAGAGAGAGAGAGAGAGAGAGAGAGAGAGAGAGAGAGAGAGAGAGAGAGAGAGATAGAAATACATCTCACTTGACTTACCTCCAAAAGGGCTTGCATGGCAAACGTGCAATCCCACAATTGTGAACCATTGGTACCCTTAATAATAAAAATAATAATAAATAATAACTACTGCTGCTGCTACTACAGCTGCTGCTACTACTACTACTACTACTGATAATTATATAACATTTTTTACATTCATTTTAAGGCCATCAGTTCCAAGCCAGAGGTAGTCATCAATCCTCTTTCTATGCTTCTTCAGTGCTTCGTTATCATTTCTATGGTATCTAACTATCATCTGAATGACCTTTGATATCTTTGGCCGTGGCGATATTAAGTAATGATACAATGATTAAATTGTTAGCGCTACTGTTGTGATTCTTGAAGCAGTTACAATAGCGTTATATCAATAAATCGTATTACGAATGAACAAACAATTGGATAAACGAATGAATGAATGACAGAATGAATGAATGACAGAATGAATGAATGACAGAATGAATGAATGACAGAATGAATGAATGAATAAATAAATGAATGGATGAATCAATCAATCAACCAATCAGTCAATCAACCAACCGGACCAATGCTAATGAAGTTAGTGACATCGTCATCAAATACTACATGCTCGTATATAAGGTTCAATGATTTTTCTCTCAGATATGTCATGTGGAATTTTTCATAAACGTCAATTAAGTCTGCAAATAAATAATAATAACAATTAATATTATTATTATAATTAATAATAATTAAAAGTAATAATAATAATAATGCTTACAATAAGCAGACTTTAACAAGTAGGTATGCGGTGTGTGCAGATCAGCCAATGAAATGTTACTACGATGGTGACGCCAAACTATGACGTCATAATTATCTTGATATAATTCCTGAAAATGATCGTTACATTTGCTGTTGTTGTTAGTTTTACTTTTTTTTACGATGACCGTGACGTCACATGTCATTTTGTAATTTATGTTATTTTATATGATTGTTGAAACAATGATAGAAAAAAATGAGCGCTTAATAAATGAAACTCGTATAGCGCTTAATCAAATGCGGATTAAAGAGCGCGTAATTTTATCTTGTACAACCTCTCTTAACTGTCGAACTATTTCTGAGTCATCGACTTTAAAACGAACAGCGTAACAATAAGACATACCTGGGCAACAAATGAATGAACGAGTGAATGAATGACTGAATGAATGACTGAATGAATGACTGAATGAATGAGTGAATGAACGACTGAATGAACGAGTGAATGAATGACTGAATGAATGACTGAATGAATGAGTGAATGAATGAGTGAATGAACGACTGAATGAACGAGTGAATGAATGACTGAATGAATGGCTGAATGAATGAGTGAATGAATGACTGAATGAATGAGTGAACGTATAATATGATTCTTCACCTTGGCCGTACTAACCAAGATAAACCTGCCGGCAGTGACACCACATTTTGCTTGGGTGGAACGGCAAACATTCCGGAAGGCTCCTAAATATAGGGAAAAAAATGATGAAGAGTATGAGAATGAAACCAACCAACAACCAGCCAACCAATCAATCAACCAACCAACCGACCTATCAGCCAACCAACCAACCAACTAACCGACCAGCCAACCAACCAGCCGACCAACCGACCATAACTCAGGCGCCAAACTATGCAGACCATCCCAACTGTAAACATTCAACACGGCCAGCCAGAATTTCCCCCACGATGGAATACTCAAAGTACCCCCTATCAATCAAAATTCATAATAATAATAATAGAATTAATAATAATAATAATAAACGTACCCAAAGATCTGAGTATACCCAATGCCCTTACCAGGTCAAGATCGCGTGCACTCACACCCAATAATCTCATTGTCACGTAGTTCAAGGCCGTTCCAAGTACGGTGGGAGGAGCTTCCGTGTGCCTGTCGCACGTGATTGGTTGGAATATAATATGCTAATTAAAGTATGGATGGAATTGTCGCGTGATTTTTCGGAATAATTTTTGTTAATTAATAAAGAGAGGCTTTATATGTGAATGTAATTAACGAAAAAGATTTTGATTGACACTTACAATCCCCACCCACCTTCCCTACATTGAACTGATCTCAGGTATCTGACCATTTCCAACTTTTTCTCACGTTGTAATGTTGTATTCGTAACGTGGCATGCTATCACAAGTCCTGGTAGAATCAAACAAGTTGAATAAATTATGTTAATTACCAATGAAACTGCCCTGTTTAGGTTGATTGTATTCAGTCAAATTTACATAAATCAGCATAAATTAACACAAGTTAAAATATAATTGTTATCGACAGATGTCAGACCAGGCATCAGAAAGAGTGGACCCCCATAATCAGCCGGCCAGTGCCCGTCATCTGCCTGAATTAGACGCAAAAAATTTGCGCTACTTTCCAGTGAAGATTGAAGCTCACTTATTGTCGGTACGTCGTCACTAATTTGATTTTTTGTCTGTTTAGTAGCGACTCTTTGTTGGGGCTGGAAATATTTTATAACTATTCAAGAAATATGAGGTATTAATCATCATCTATTAGATTTTACAGTAGTTACAATCATTACGAAAGGAAAAGTTTGAAGTAATGATAAAAAACATTTAAAAACTGATGAAAATGTTCACTTTTTCGTGGCACACCTCATACAAACCAAGTAGATACTTCTCCATAAATGATTGTTCCTCACTCATTCCATCAAGATCATCGGCATATTCGTCGTCATCACCATCAATTTTTGTGACCTCGTTGTTTGGCCCTAAGTAAGCCCATCTTTGTCTACCCTTCCTGTTGATGAGACGCCATCTTGTTAAATCAGTTGCCGGATCAGTTCTCCGTGGAGCCCCTCCGTTTCTTGGGGCCGGGTTGACGTATTGGGGAGATTTCTGCCAAAAAAACTTTTCTAACATGTTTTTGAATAAAATTTTAGTGAATATTTAATTAGATTTTAGACATTTTGATCAAAATTTGAAGTAAAAATTAGATTATGACGTTAAATTCGCCTTCTTCGAGTAATGTTAACTTTTAAAACCATTTAAATAATTTTCTAATCAGCTGTTCAAAAACCCCTCAAAATTTTCAACCAATGGGAGGCGATTTTTGAATAATTCCATCAGAGCTTGCATTTCATTGGTTAAACATCTTGAGTCGATTTTTGGAAATTCCCGATAAAAGTGGACTTATATTATAATTAAAATGCCAACAACAGATGAATTCGCATCGCGTTTTTACGAATTTAACAAATAAATTCATTCAAATGCTTGTTTAATTATCTTTTTTCTTTCAAGTTTTAAATTAAATAGTGATTTAATTTAAAATTAATGACGAAACTGACTCACCTTGACCCAATGTAATAGTTTAAAAGTCAAACTTTGCGCAGGACTTTTCGCCGTCTGATCGATAAAAACAAAAAGGACATTTTTGGCTTCATTTTGACGAAAAAATAAACAAAAAGTCAATAAATCAACAATTTGTTTATTATATTTTGAAAAGTTAATAACGTAAATATGAAATAAATTGAGTTGAAAGAGTATTTTTGCAAGAAGGAGTGATGCAAAGTGGGAATCCTACTGGCTCCAATTTACTTAAAGTTCCACAGTCTGCTTCATCAACGATATCCAATTATCAACAAAGTGTGTGTGTGTGTGTGTGTGTGTATGTATGTGTGTGTGTCGGTATGTATGTACATATGTGTGTGTATGTATGTATGTACCTATGTGTATGTATGTATGTATGTATGTATGTATGCTTGTTCGTTTTTTGGCTTTCCCAAATTGAAATCCTAGTTTTCTGGAACAGACAGTAAGACAAACACTAGTCCTCAATAGCTGCTATTCTTCTTATCATTATTTATCGTGTATGTTATATTTTTAATATATTTTTTTGTAGTTTTTGATTTGAGTAACCTGAGTCCAAAATCGAAAAGAATTCTAATATGGAAGGAGAAAAACAGGAGTTCCCAGTTTTTAAACGTGGGCTTTGATATTTTATTTGTTATCATCATTATTATTTTAATATAATTATTCATAATATTTATTATAGTATTAATTATAATTAATATTAATATTGTTATTATCACCCTTCTCTAACAAAGGTCCTCGAAGGAGAAGAGGAAGACATGGTTATGGACAGATTAGGTTGACTCTTTTTTTTTAATTTCAAATAAATTGAATTAATTTCACTACAACAACAATAATAATAATAATGACTCATTTATATAGCGCTCATTTCTGCAGGCAAGAAACTTGCGCTGCACATTTGATTTTCTGCAAAAACAACGCATCACACATGCACTTTAAAAGTGAAATGATTCTTCCTGCATTTGAATCCCGTCACCACGACGCAAGAGATAGATGCTCTACCATTACGCCATTTAGCTGACCAAAGAAATGAAAGTAATTCAATTACTATTCTTTCCCTATTTCTAATCAAATAGATGATGAGCCACAATTAGTGTACATGAAAGCATTGTCCGCCTACCATTGTTATGATCTGATTCCAACTAGCTCAAAACTCGTCGTTTTTGACACTAAAATTAGTGTAAGTTAAATAGTGTCTTTAGTGTTGTTGATGAGGATGGTGGTAATGCTGATGGTCAGGATGACGTAAATTGTAGAAATAACCAAATGAATTATTAATTGATTAATCCATTATCCATCAATTCATCCATCAATCCATGTTTCCAAACTGATTGATTGGTTGATTGATTGGTTGATTGATTGGTTGGTTGGTTGTTTGATTGATTGGTTGAGTGCTTGATTGATTCATTCAATTGACCAAACTCATACATCCCTCCATAATTTATTAATTTATGCAGATCAAGAAAGCCTTCCTAGCCCTCATGTACACCGGGGTAAGGGCTGCCCCACTCTGGAACGAACAGCTGAAAAAATATATCGGTGGTTATGATGACGATGATGTGAATGATGATGATGATGATGTCGTTGTTGTTGTTGATGATGATAATGTGTATATATGCACATTTTTACAAATAGCGCTTCGTTTATATGCGCTGGTTATGATAGACAGACGAGGTTCTTTCTGAATTCAAACCCGGTCAGTGCGAAACGGGAGCCAGACACATTACCACTGAGCTACGTAAATGCTGATGACGTGTTTTTTTTCTGCAACTTCTCAGGTATGCTAACGATCACAGATTTCATCAAAATCTTACGCCAATATTATAAAACGCCAGGGGTCAGTTATTTCAATCTAATGAATGATTGATTGGATGAATGAACAAATGAATGAATGAATGAATTGATGAGTGATAAATGAGTGAATGGATAGATGAATGAATGAATGGATGAATGAATCGATTCTTTTATTTCGCAGAAAGACATCACAGAACTGGAGAGCTATGAAATTCAAACTTGGAGAAGTGAGTGACTCATCGTCGTCGTCGTCGTCATCACTATCATTATCATCATCACCATTATTATTATCGTCATCATCATCGTTGTCATCATCATCATCAGATGTTCTAGAAGAATATAAACGGCCATTAGTACACGTCAGCCCTGATGTTACCCTGGCCGAAGCTATACATCTGTTAAGTCAGCAACAAGTTCATAGGTGGGTCACTCACCCAATCACTCATTCATTCATCATTCATTCCTTCCTTCATTCATTCATTCATTCATTTATTCATTCACTCATTCATTTATTCATCTAGGTTGCCGGTTATAGACCCAGTAACAGGTGACGCCTTATTCATAGTGACTCACAAGAGAATCCTTCGTTTCCTGTTCATTTACGTCAGTTCTATCATTTCTAGAAAGACTCCCAACCATAATTACTCTATAGTTATTATAGTTATTATTATTATTGTTACTACTACTGCCATTTTTACATCTTTGATGGAACGTGATAAAGATGGATTTTTGTTGCGTGAACGAACCTGTGGCCACCAACCAACCAGCCAGCCAACCAACCAACCAATCAACCAACCAACTAACCAGCCAACCAACCAAGCTCTTGCTTTCTCTCACCTCCACTCACCTATCTACTGACTTTTATTCATTTATTTCATTGAATTTTTATTTCACTTTTAAATTTTGACTCATTTTCCTGGCACTGAAGAGTCTGAATTATTACTATTTATAGATTTATGACATGCCAGAGCCGGATTTCATGAGGCATTCCTTGCAAGAGCTCAACATTGGAACGTTCAAGGACATCGTCTACGTAAGCCATCGCCATCATCATCATCATCATTACTATTATTAGTATTATTATTTCTGTAGTAGTAGTAGTTGTAGTAGGAATAATAATAATAATAATAATTAGGTGAAAAAAGACACGCCAGTTATTGAAGCGCTTAATTTACTGATGGACAAAAACATATCGGCCCTGCCCGTCGTCGACGATAATATGAAAGTGTTAGATGTCTATGCCAAGTTTGACGTCATCGTTAGCTGTGATGGTGATGATGACGAACGAATGTGACGCTCTTGATGATGATGGTGCCGATAATGATGACATCACCATGATGATGATGATTTTTTTTCCCATATTCCAGAACTTAGCTCCAAACAAGGCCTACACCGATCTGAGTGTCAGCGTTGAGAAATCGGTTGAGAATAAAATAAGGGTTAGCTCTATCATTCATTCATTCATTCATTTATCCATTCATTCATTCATTCATTCATTTATCCATTCATTCATTCATTTATCCATTCATTAATTTATTTATTCTTTCATACACTGGATTGAATGAATGCATTCACTTATGAATGCATTCACTCAATCGCGTACTTTCTTTTCGTTTCATTCATTATCGTTATTCTTCTGATTATTATTATTATTGTTGTTGTTATCATTATCATTATCATCCAAAAAATAGACGTTCAATTCTGTGCAAACTTGTTTCAAATCGACAACACTGCGTTCGGCAATGGAAAATATAACAACAGCTGAAGTATGTATGTGTGTTTGTATGTGTATGTTTGTTTGTGTGTGTGTGTATGTTTGTTTGTATGTGTGTGTGTGTGTCTACCGTTACAGGTGCATAGATTAGTGATAGTGGACAGTGAAGGCCGGTTGGAAGGGGTGCTATCGTTATCAGATATCCTGAAATTTCTTGTCGCGAGGCCTCTGCATCTTCCAGCTTCTCCATCTCACCATCCTCATCACACTCCTCTTCTTCTTCATCATCAACATCTCTCTTTCCATCATCATCATCGTCATCAGCAGCAGCAGCAGCAGCAACAACAACAGCCTAATCATCAGTGATGACGTCATCGTCATCTCCACTACCATCATTGGCGTTATTCATTTTTTTTTTCTCATCATCATGCGAGCATTTAAATTAACTTTTAGTTTTTTCACGTGTGTGTGTATATTTTATTCTTATCACTGCATTAATATTTTACAAGTTTGTTAGTATTTCTTGCTTGGTAGGTTAGTGTGTTCGTGTATAAATATATGAATGCATGTGCGTGTGTGTGTGTGTGTGTGTTTGTATGTATGCGAGTGCGTGTATATATTGTGTGTGTGTGTGTGTGTGTGCGCGCGCGCGCGTAGTCTTAGAATTTGTATGGAAATAATATTACCTAAGCAAGCGATGTACATATTTCTGGCTGGTTCTCATTGATATTGTAAGCATAATAACGAAAATGGTTATCAAAATATTAATTGATTAATTAATTGATTTAAACGAATGGATTAGATTTTATAAAATTTTTTGATTTAAAACTATTTTCTCTATTTTTCGTTTATTTTTCGTAATGATATTTATTTCGATTTATAGTTTCATTTGAATTGTATCGTGTTGTTTTCACTATGTTTAATTTATTCATTCATTCACTTATTCATTCATTCATTCATTCATTCACTCATTCATTCATCCATTTATTCTTTTTTATTCAAACAAAGCCTAAATCATTATAGAGAGATCTTATCATTTAAAAAAAACTTTGTTTAATCTTTCAGATAAAAATAAAAAACAATTAATTCAATAATATATATATATATATATATATATATATATATATATATATATATATATATATTCAATTTGTTCTTTCTTTTATTGATTTGAAGCACCATTTAGATTCAATCCAGCCAATAGAGAAAACATTAATAACTAACTAATTAAATAACTTTCCGTGTATAAAAAACTACACAAAACCCACGCGCGCACACTCACGTACACACACGCACACACACATAATATGCAACACACACACAGATATACAATACACACACATACATATATATATAATATTGATAATAAAAATAATTTAAAAAGTAACAGATGACGCAAAATATGAGATTGTTGCAAATTTGAGTTTAAAATTTAAACTTCTGTTGTTAGGATGATGACGCTTCTGACTTCATTTCTTTTAAACCTTCCTCTTTGATTGGCTTGTCCGAAATCTGTAGCCCCTCTGTGATTGGGTGATCCAAAACCCGTTCCCATTCTGTGATTGGCCAGTTCATTTTCCGTTCCCACTCTCGGATTGGCTAGTCTAATATCTGACCCTTCTCTGTGATTAGTTAGTCCAAAATCTGTTGCTAGTCTCTGATTGGCTGATCTTAAATTTGTTTGATCCATTAAAAATGATTGCGACGATTTGATTGGCTGTTGCTGTTGATGGTTGAGATGTGGATGTGATTTGAAATTTTGTTGTTTTGTATAGTGTTGTTGTTGATGGTGTGGTTGTTGGAAAGGCAAGACACGCGATTTTTGTAGTTGTTGTGAATGGTAAATAGAATTTTGCTGTTGTTGTTGTAGATGTTGTTGTTGTAGATGTTGTTGTTGTAGATGTTGTTGTTGATGTTGCTGTTGGATTGTCGGCATCAATGTTGCTGGCGAAAGAAATTGTTGTTTGGCAGTTGACGTTGTTGTTGTTGCGGCTGCTGTTTGATAACGTTTCTGATTTTTCTTTGGTAGGCTTGCATGATAAGCTGTGTGAATGAATGAGTGAAGAGATTGGATGGAACGACGATTGATTTGAATGAATGAATGAACAGGTGAATAAAATCAACAAAGAATATAGATAATCGTACAGTTTCTTGTGGGCGATAAATAATATTTTCCATCGTCTTCGTTGACGTCATTTCTTTCGAGTGTCGTTTGAGTTGAATTCACGGAAGAATGATTCCCATTGGTCGAAATTTTCGTCCAATCAGAAACGACTACTTTGTTGTTGCTGTCATTTAAAGTTGTTGATGCTTGTTGCTTAGTTATGCTTATATTCGATATAGTTTTTCTGTATTTTCTGTTGGCTTTTGTTAATGTGTAGTCGTTGTTGATGTTGTTGTTGCTGTTGTTGTTGTTGTTGTTGATTGTCGAACTTGTTAACGTTGACGTTGAATGAAAATCGCTTTCATTATCTTTGCTGTTCAGCCTGTTGTGACCGTACGATGCCAAATTATTTGCTACGAAATTGTTGTTGTTGTTGAGGTTGTTGTTGTTGTTGTTGTTGTTGTTGTGGTTGTTGTTGTTGTTGCTGCTGTAACTGCTCAAAGGCCTGTTCAACAGTGTTGCCGGTGCATTTGGCAGTATTTTTGTCGTCGTTGTTGTTGATGATGTAGTTGGTAATGTTTTGTTGTTGCTTGGATGGTATGACGATGTTGAAGATATTGTTGTTTGTTGCTGCGACGATGTTGTCGTTGTTGGAAAGTGAGAGTAACTTCTAACGCGAGGCGAATCATCAACAGAAATGTTGCAATGTTTTTGTCGTTGTCGTTGTTGTTGTTGCTGATGTGAAAGTTGCGAATTGCTATGTCTCAAATTTGTTCTTCGGAGCTGTTGTTGTTGTGAGAAATGTTGTTGTTGTTGTGGTGGTGGCTGTGGTTGTTGTTGGCTGTTGGATAAAGCCGGTAAGGATATCAAATGCTGTTGTGGATGTTGTTGTACATGTTTTTGTTTCGTAACAATCCCACTTCCGGCAAAATTTATTCCATTTCCGGCAAAACCACCATTGCCAACGTCCACACTGTTTCGCTTCGTTGAGTTCATTCGGCCCATCGATCCGTTAGTTGCGTGTGCTGACGGTCTGAATGGTTTGGAAAAAAATTGTTTGTTGTTACAACAACATCAGCAACCTCAAAAAGTTCAACAACAACAACATCGACAACAACAACAACAACATCGTCCTTCAGGCCAGTCACTCTCTCAACCTCTTCAAGATTCCGTTGGAAGCAGCAGCGACGGCAGAGGCTGGCTTATAACTATTGTATTCAGCGCCATCAAAACTCGTCACGTGATCTTCATCTTTATTATTATTATTATTGTTGTTGTTGTTGTTGTTGTTATTGAGGTTAATGTTGCCGTTAAGTTTCAAAGATTCCCGTGACTTCAAGTCATTTCGACTTTGACTTACAACACTCGTTTTTGAACTTTGACCTGAACTTAAATAAGTTGACCTCGAACTTTGACCTTGAAATCTAGGTCGTTTCTGGCTGGATCTACGTTCGAACGTGACGCTCCTTCTCGCTCGCGTTGACGTTAGCGATTGAAGTTCTGTGTTGCCGCTGGCGTGGTTGTGATGATGATGATGATGATGATGGTGACGATATGGTGATGATGATGTGATGATGAGGTTATGATGATGATGTGATGATGAGGTTATGATGATGATGTGATGATGAGGTTATGATGATGATGATGTGATGATGACGGCGACAATGTTGATGGTAGCAGTAAAATAAACAATAAACTATAATGGGAAAAAAACCTTAAAATGATACCGAAACAACTGAATTACACACACACACACACGCACGCACACACACACGCACAAACACACTGCTAAACAGACACTGAAACAAGCACAAAACCTGTATCTAAACTTAGAACCGAGTCGGAAAAACGGTGAGCGAACCGTAACCGATTTGGTCGGCCCGCTGAGTCGGTAGAAGGCGTGATGTTCGACCGCACATTTCCACAGGTGCTTGCAAGCCCTGTCGCTAGAGCTACGAAATACGAATGTGTGTTCTTGGTCCACACCCTTGGCGAATGAATGAATGAGTGAATGAGTGAGTGAATGAATGAGTGAGTGAGTGAATGGATGAGTGAATGGATGAGTGAGTGAGTGAGTGAGTGAGTAAAGAAATGAAGGAAGGAAGGAACGAACGAATGAATGAATGAATGAACGAATGAATGTGTATATTAATAATTAAAATGATGACGGTCAACTACTTTGTCGTCGCTTTCAACGACGTTCAGGATTAATTTCTTCTTCTTGAATTGCAGTTTCGTTATCTTTGGCCTGGGGGAAAATAATAATAATAACAACAAC